GTCTGTCTGTCTGTCTGTCTGTCTGTCTGTCTGTCTGTCTGTCTCTCTCTCTTTCTCTCTCTCTCTTTGTCTTTATTTCTCTCAAACACACATGCACACACACACACACACACACACACACACACACACACACACATGCACACAAACACACACACACACACACACACATACATGCATACATACATACATACATATGTATATATACATACATACACACATACACGCTGTCCCATTTTTCACATATTCTCACTCGTCCCTATATTCTTGTCCCACCCAGCACCATTTACTGCATTTTCTCATGATCTCAATCATTTTATCACAATACGTTTATCTTGTTATTCTTCTGTCCACCGAACCGTTTCTCTTTCACCTTTCCTTTCTTCTTGTCTCTCCTTGTCCACCACCAGCAGCACCACCAGCACCCCCACCACAACCACCAGCACCACCAGCACCAGCACCACCAGCACCAGCACCAGCACCACCACCACCACCAACACCAACAAGGCCATCACCCTCATCACTTACTTGTTATAAGTATGATTTTTTTTTAAACGCACAAAAAAAAGAAAAAGCTGATGGAGACTCGACTATCTCTGAATGTTACGACATAAAATATTATGATCAAAGCTTCGTCCTTTTTGGGCTTCTTCAGGAACGAGATAAAATCATCATCATCATCATCATCATCATCATCATCATCATCATCATCATCATCATCATCATCATCATCAGCAGCAGCAGCAGCAGCAGCATCATCAGCATCATCATCAATAATTGTTATCATTATTACTCTTATTGATATTATTACTACGGCATTAAAGTTTTCCGTATTATCCCACCACCTCCCACCCCATTCCCCCCTCCCCGAAAAAACCCAGAAAAAAGAAAAAGAAAACAGGAGAAAGCAGAAAGTGTCCAGTTTCTAGCAGGGCCATGTTTCTACTTACCAGGGTCTCCTAAATCTGGGAAATTTCTGCCTAGAAAAGATGGCGGCATCGGCACCATTGGGGAGCGGAAGGAAGCGGCCGACATAGACGGGGCGGGCATGAGAGGGGGAGGGAAGGTGGCGGTGTGGTGTGGGTGGTGGTGATGGTGGTGGTGGAGGGGGTGAGCACCGCGGTAAGCGGCATGGTGGTGGTGCGTGTGGGCGTGGTGCGGGTGGGCGTGGTGGGTGGGGAGGGCGGAGGACATGTAGAAGGAGGACAACTGTCGGGAGTAGGCCGAGTCGTCCTCCTCGCCGTTGCCCATGGGGTGTTGTTGATGATGGTGTTGTTGTTGTTGTTGCTGTTGTTGTTGCTGTTGTTGTGTGGAAGTGGGGTCTGACGAGGAGGACGTTTGGTGAGGATGCTGAAGATGTTGTTGTTGGAGGTGATGATGTTGTCCACTACCACTACCACCACTGTTGTTATTGTTGTTGTTGCTGCTGTTGCTGAGGTCGTGGCTGTTGGCCGCCGCTCCGTGAGGAGATCTCCTTGATGAAGAAGAAGAAGATGAACCGTGGAGGGGGTTTGTTATATCTCCCCCGCAAGACGATCTGTCTATCCCTCCTCCTCCTCCCCCACCTCCTCCTCCGGGACTGCACTGTGACGCAATAGGCTCTCCCACCTCCTGTTTGATCACGGCGTGGTGGTGTCGGAGATCAGCAGAGGACATGCTCGTCACTGTGTTCGCTGAGGGGAGGGAGGAGGTGGTGGAGGAGGAGGATGAAGATGTGGGCGCAGAAGAGGAAGAGGATAAGGAGGACGAAGATGGAGTGACGGACGAGGTACCCAAAGCCAACGACGACGACGAAGACGAAGACGACGAGGAGGAATTCGTGGCTCCGGGAGCAGAGCCCAGAGAGGGTGTGGCGTGGGGGTCGGGCGCCGCCCCTGAATGTGTGGGCGTTAACGGTGTCAGGGGCTGGTAGCTCCCTGGGGTTCCGGGACTAGGTGTGGGCAACTGGGGTGTGAGACTACCAGTGTGTTTGTCGTAGTGTCCACCGTACGCTCCGGCCCCATAGTGACGGTAATGGTCGTAGCTGGATGAGTAACCTAATATACCTCCACCACCGTTCCCCATTCCTCCTCCACCTCCTCCTCCTCCTCCTCCTCCAATGCCGATGCCGTTTCCTCCGTGCGGAATGCCGCTACTGTGATGGCCCGTGACGTCATCGCCCGAGGACGAATATGCGTTGGCGGTTGGTGGTTGAGAGGTCACGTGGTCCAGGTGGGAGCCTGGGTTGGCCAAAACCACAGAGGATGAAGGGCTCAAGAGATCTGAGGGTGGGGAGGGAAACAACACAGGCTGAAGACTGGTGGTGGTGGTGGTGGTGGTGGTTGGGGTGGTGGTAGTGGTGGTGGTAGTGGTGGTATTGGTGGTAGTGGTGGTGGTGGTGGTTGTGGTGGTGGTCGTGGATGTGGAGAAGACGGAGGAAGAGGAACGTAGTAAGGGTGTTGATGTTGTAATTGCTATTGTTGTTGCTTCTGGGGTTGCTGTTATTTTTGTTGATGATGTTGGTGGTTGTAGAGGAGGATGAAGAGGAGGACAACGAGTGCGTATGTTTGGTTGTTTGTATGTATGTAAGTTTGTTCGTTTGTTTGTTTGTTTCTGTAGTTGGGGTAGTGGTGTTGTTGGTAATGATTGTTATGGTGAGGGTCCTCTGATGGCACGCGAAAGAAGAGAAATGTAGTCGCTGTCGTGGAGAAGGTATTGTTGTTGTTGTTGTTGTTGTTGTTGTTGTTGTTGTTGTTGTTGTTGTCGGTGAGGATGACGGTTGTAGTGCGATGGTGCTGATGCTGTAGCGATGGATGAGGATCAAAATGGTAGTTATCGTGGCTGATGTCTCAGTCTCTCATGGCAGTAGCGGTGAGGAATGAAGAATGGAATGGAGGCTTATGAGATATGGGTATTTTTTCTCCTTATTTTCAAGTTAGACGAAGAAACCTTCTAATAAGAATGGAATATTTAGAAGTTGTAACATGTAGTTTCTGCATTTACGAAAATTTATGTTGTCCTTTTCGAGGGAAAAGGAGGTTGAGGAGAGCGGAAGGGGATGCTTCGGGTAGAGAAAAT